CCTCTCTCATCAGCCAGTGGACCATGATATGGAAGCTGATCACACAACAATAGCTGAAGTGGTAGAACAGTTCATAATCGACCAGGAGCTGACAGAGGAGCAGGTGGCACAGCTCTTCATGCGTCTTGCTGCTTTGCTTCGTTGGCAGCCCGGAGGCAGTTCTTTAAACTTTATTTTCTATCTTTTCATCTAAGTGCTACTTTATTGAGAAACACTGGTTAAGTATGCTTCTTAAAGTGTCTCTTTAAGCAGAAATACTTCAGAGATCAGAAACTAGCAGCAAGTTTTTACATGTACCTGAATACCTTCTGTGATTTTTTTCTCTGTCCAGTGAAGTGTCAGTTCCTCCCTTTCTGGGAGCAGGAACTTCTGGTATGAACACTTGTTGGCTAGGACAGCTCATCTAGCTTCTCACTGTCATCCTTCTTCAAAGCTGCCACTCCTCTATTTTTTCAAGACTCCAGTTAACTAGTGGTCAAGTTTCTGTGCGCTAGTTTCTTGCTGCAGCCTAATTATTATTGTAATCTTCATGGCTGCAGTGTTCTGAAGGGGTCACAGATGACTTGAACAAAAAGGCATTGAAAACCGCGTGTCCTGCTGTAATAGTTTTCTTAATTTTATGCATTTGAGGATGAGGAGCAAGCTAGTAGAAGAGAACTTCTAGGCCAAGTTTTCAACAGAAATTTAGGGTTTTGTGTTTAGTTCTACACTCAAAACATTTGAGAATTTTTTCCTGGGGTTTTACATCATGTTTTCTAGCAATCTTTTTGAAGAGGAAATTAAGCCAAAGCTTAATTCATTATGCAGCTCAGATTGTATAAGAAACTTAGATATAAATATCAAAGGGGACTTCCTACTAGTGACAAGATAGCAGGCAGGAAAGTGTCCTGTTCAAGAAGTCATCAGTAAACAGGAAGCTGATCAGCTCTGTACCATTTCTCTGGCTGCTATGTGTGCTGCTTCATTCTTCACCTATTTTTTATTGTTTTCTTTGTGAATAGTTCCACTATCTTTCTGTGATGTTGCTCATAGATTTTCCAGACAGAGTGGGAGGAAAGAAAAGAAAGGAGGAGTACAATTCCTGTTTCCACTTCCCTTAGCATATTGATGAGCATATATGAATCTGAAAATCTTAAGGATCTCATGCTGAAATTACTTAGAAATTGTTTGCTGCTGGGGAGTTGTTATTTAATCTTCCAGTGTTTCTTGCCCTTATAAATGTAAGAAAAAACATTTTCAAATGTATCTAAGTGAATTTTTTGTTACTTTCTGTCCTAGTAAGGCATTTTCCATTCTTTTTTTCCCCTTGAAAACGTATATAGACTAACCTAGTCAGTGTTGGTAAAACTTCATTTTGAGTTTTGCATCCAGATTGGAACACTGCTGTACAAGAATAGCTGACCCATTTGAAAGAGTTCACAAAGTACCAGTGACAGCTGGAGATCAAGAAAGCCCAGTCTGTGAGGAAAGAGGGAAACAACTGGATTTATTTAGCCCAAAGACCAGTTGACCAGTTTGAAGGGGAGCTAATATACAGTAAGTGTTTGAAGTTGTAAAATATTCTTGCATGGAAGAAAAGGAGCTGTTTTGTTCTCTGTATTCACAGTGAACATGGGAAATTGCAAGAAAATTCAGGTTAGATGTCTGGGGGAAAGTTACAGTAATAGAAGATAAGAAGGTAGTTAAGTAGTTTGGGAAGGCTGTGAAATCTCCATCGAAGTTCTTTAAGGGAAGGTTAGACAAGTGGTTTTCAGGAAAGGGAACTGAGACTCTGACTTGTGAAGGAAGTCTTAACCCTCTGCTCCTGGTTTTTCCAGGACTGAATCATAGAAAAAAGTTTGAAGGACATAAGAGCCAAAGAGGAGCATAGGCTTTTTAATGCTCAGATATGTCTACATGGTATTTTGGAGGCAAACGTGAGCTCACATAAAGCAACTAATCTGAAAGCAATACAGCAAACCTGGCCCAGTGCCAAGCTGAGGAGGCTGCCTGAGAATGACACTATATAGTTTCTTAGTGACAAATTGGAATCTTTTATCTTTATGCTGGCATTTTTTGCTGAAAGACAAAGCAAGGTGAGGACAAGATGCCTTTTAGTAGTTTTAGATGCAAAACAAGACAAAAACTTACTATAAATATATCCAAAACATTATGGTTAAACTGCATTTAACTATAAAAACACTACAAAATCCTGTGTTTGTATGCTTTTATTTGAGTTCCAGTTTAAGTTATGTCCAAATCAAAATAAAAATGAATGCTCACGGGACAGATAGAAACATCTCATTTGCTGTTTTCTAGCATGATACATGTAGAAACCACTGCAGTGTGTTAGTGTGCATTTGTAGCATTTCTTCTGCCCTCTATAAGAGCTACAAAAGGCACATACATGCAGAATCTTAATAGGCCTACAGGGGTTTTCTTTTTTAAATTCTGCTAGGCTATAAGAACACTTCAGCTTATGGTAGTATAGTCTTAAAAAGTATTTGCACTTTGAGGTGTTTTTTTCCCCGTGGTTCACTATCAGCACTCTTGGTTACACAAAATACAACCTGTACTGTGCGAATTATTACATATATTATATCTTATACATTCATTTCTCTTATGAAAGTGTATTTTTAAATGAAAGGTTTATGCACAACTAAAAAGAAACTTCTAAAGTGTATACATAAAAAGAAAAGAGCTTTTATTTTGCAGTAAGGCAGTGCTTGCATGCTAGGTATTGTTGAAGTGAGGGGGATGTTTACATCACTTCAGATGCCAGTGATCCTTAGCCTCTGTTTGCATGACTCGAACCTTGTCTTTTAAATATAGCAAGTGCATTTGTCCATCAGTCCTTTATCTGTTGGTTCAGAGGTCTGTCACCAATTGTTTTATAGCCTGCTCCAGTAAGCATCATCAGCCTCAAATGGACCAGCTGTTCAACAGGTAGCAAACCAGCTTTTTCTGTAACAATTAGCATAAGGGGAACAGCATATATACAGAGACTTAAATATAGGCCATTTAAATACACAGATACAGCATATAAGATATGCAAGATGTATATCACTAACTATAGTACGTTTCAAGAATGTATTTTAGTAGATGGGGATATGGCTGTACCTGAAAGGCATGTCTGAGCTAGCCTTAGGCAAAAAGTTTTTCAGTCCTTCCTGGTTGGTCTCAGATCTGAGGTTCTCACTGAGCTGTTGTAAGATTAATGTCATTCTTGAAGTGTGTTATGAAATTATGAAGAATAGATTAATTAGAACAGCTTTAAGGTGTTAGAATGATACAAACAAATTCATAACTCCTAATCATTCCTTCAGGACCCTGTGAAGCCTAATGCTGCATTTATCACAGTGACGTGATACACGCTACTTGTAAACATCTTTCAGAGCCTGAATTTACTTAATTCAGAGAGAGGTACAGCATTTTTATACATTCCATGTTCAAAATGAGTCTGATACAGGAAGTAGCAGCATTGACATAGTGTGGTTAGTAAAAACTTGAGAGAGATACTGCTTAAGTCAAGGCATTTGATTCATCACATTTTTGGCACAAACAAGACATGTTTCCAGTGTAAATTCTGCCTTTTCTTTAAGTGTCTCTTCCACGATCTTTGCTTGGCTATCTTAACTTATGTTAAAATATGTTAATGACATCTTAACAAAAATTCATTTTAATTTATTATGAAACTGCAAGAAAAGATTTAATGTTTGTCTTAATTTCACTTTCTAAGCTTAGCGTGGATCTAGTTATTAAAAACTGGGTGTACACTTGAGCTAGGCATTGAGTGTATGCACACATTGTTTCTGTTCTTCCTTGTCAAGCTGTATTTTGGACTCTGTACATATTTAGAAAAGGTAGGAAATCTGATGAAAGAAGACCTCAGATATAAATGAAAAATAATTAATAAACTCTGTGTGTGTGTGTTTCATAGTCTTTGATTAATTCAGGAAACAATGCAGAAAAGGGAAAGGTAGAAATGGGGAAAACGCAAAATGCTATACGGCTCAATAAGCCAAACTGCTCTTCAGACAGCCTCTATTGAAGACCCAAGAGTTTCTTTAGTTAGTGAAAACTGAATAAAAATGACATTGTTGAAAGAATTGCAAAATCAGATGTTTGGAATGAGGACAGAGATTCTTTTAATACTGGCTTTAAGTTTTATGCCCCAGCTTCCCTGTCAGTAAACACTGTGCACTTTAGCACTGTGAGTAGTCATGATCCTGGAATAGTGCTTGAGTTGAGTGTGTGGATGTAAACTATTTTCTTTTTTTTTTTTTTTTTCTTCATGTAGCTAGCACAAGGGAGTAAAAACAGAGGCAGGTAGAAAGAAGAGTTGGAGGATCTTTGGAGATAGCATGGTGAAAAGGGAAGGCTTTGGAAACAGATTAGAGAAGACTGGCAAGGCACAAAGAGAAAAATATTTGTCTTGTCCTTCTCGTTGTCTTAATTTAGGTCTCTGTTTTACAAGGGGGTCGATTCGGGTCTGTGAAAAGCTCTTTTGCATCAGCAGCACTGATGCTCCCACACAAAATAATTTAAGGGAGCAAGCCTCCAGGGACATATTGAGAAAACAGTCTTTGTTTTCTGTGGTTTTATGTCGGCGTTCATTTTTATTGTGTGGCATCACATATATGTGTGTGCATGTATTTAATGTGTAGGATAATAATGACTTATTTTTATGGACATATTCTTGGAAAACCAGAGTGCTCTTATCTTTTGCCTAAGCATTGAGGAAGTTGGTTTATTTTTTTAGTTTGTTTTGTTGTTGTTACTTTCTAGTTCTGTACACAGCCTGGAAATAAAACCAGCTGTTTTGCTTTGCTATTCAAAATATCTAGGTGGCTCGCTGCACAAGATCAGAGGATGTTTGTAAATAAAGTATTAGTCTTCTCTGTAGTGAAGAGATTACTGATAGACTTCTGGGTTGCAAGAGGAAAGCATGTGTGGATTAAATTGTATGTTTTTGTGGTCTTTATAGATAGACATACAGATCTAAGGAATCACAGGTTGAAATGAGTAACCAAGATGCTGATGTGCTACGTTGCTGGAGATGTAGAAAATATATAGCAAATTCTGTTTGTCTTGCAAAATGTCATGGAAAAGAAGCATATGAAGTAAGTATAGCATCTGGAGGGGGTTTGTAACTTTTTGCAGTGGCATTGGTTTTAAATAAAGGAGAAGTATTAGACTTGCCCTCACTTAGTAATTAATCTCTTGTGGAGATAAGTTCTGAAATATGCACAATTCCATAGAGAGTAATGTAAGCAGTAATGCTACTGAAGCTGAATAGGCAGTGGTCACCTTTATGATCTGAAACATGAAGGCTGGTATTCATGATACATTTGACTACTAGCCTGTGTAGAGTATGTAGTGTTACTGTTTTTCATATAAGAATTGGTTTGTTTTTTTGACAGTTTCAATACATCAATTTTGTTTTAATATCTCCTAACAGAGAATTCTTTCTTGCTAAGGTGTGTTTTAAATACTGATGCTAATTTCCACTGCAATTATTAACTATGTGTGAAATATTCCTACATCACAAACTTTTGCTCTTAATTTTGAAAAACTGGGGAATAGTCTGTATACAAAAACAGTTCAGAAGATTAGCCTGCCCTGAGGGTGGGGGTGCCTTGCCAGGCTAAAATACCACTTAGTAATTTACGTCATCTTTATTAAAATAAACAGAAAACAATCATACAGAATGAAACAATGACAGAGTATTTCGTGCAGCTTTATAATTGCAGACAGTAATCATGAAGAGTTAGAGTCTTTCCAAATAGGCCAAGAAGACTGTGCTTACGTCCTATGATCTTGAATTAAAGCGAGAAAGCAAATAGAAGGGAAGGTGTTGATCTTTTTTATTAACACACTGGAAATGCAATGACATTCTTTTTGGCACGGGAGAAGAGTACAACCAATAGAGGTAGAAACAAAGTTATTATTTTTTAAGATCCTGATATAATTAGTAGTATTAATAAACCCTATGTTAATCACTTCCTTCTCTTATGGAGCTTGAGTTTCTGGAATATTTTTCATGCTTTATATTTGAGGGGTTTTTATTTTGTGCTTGGTTTGAAGTATTTTGGAGGGGTGGGAAATTTCAACTCCTTTCATGGAAAAAATGTAGTGAAAAGAAGAAGGTATCTTTGTCAGTGCCCCACCATGGAGCTTTTAATTGCTAGTGGAGATCTGCCTTTATTGTGCACAAGACTGAAGGAGCTCCTTCTCTAATTATGTCAATAGCAAATTTAAAAAAATGTAATTTAATGCTACTTCCTGAGACGTTGGGAGGCAAAGATTGTAGTAAGATGAGAACAGTAATGTTTCAGTATGTTGGCTTTCCCTGATGAATTACAGGCCTTCAGTCAAAGACTGAAGCTGAAATACATGTAAAAGAGAAAAATCATAGAATGGTGTGGGTTGGAAGAGACCTTAAAGATCATCTAGTTCCAACCACCCTGCCATGGAGAGGGATACCTGCCACTAGACCAGGTTGCTCAAAGCCTCATCCAGCCTGGCCTTGAACACCTCTAGGGATGGGGCATCCACAGCTGCTCTGGGTAACCTGTGCCAGTGCCTTACCACCCTCACAGGAGATTTCTTCCTAATATCTAATGTAAATCTACTGTTTTTTAGCTTAAAACTGTCACCTCTTGTTCTATCACTGCACTCCCTGATAAAGAGTGCCTCCCCATCTCTCCTGTAGGCCCCCTTGAAGTAATGGAAGGCTGCTCTAAGGTCTCCCCAGAGCCTTCTTTTCTCCAGGCCAAACAACCCCAATTCTCTCAGCCTGTCCTCATATGGGAGGTGCTCCAGTCCCCTCACCATCTTCATGGCCCTCCTCTGAATTTGTTCCAGCAGGTCCATGTCCTTATGTTGGGGGCCCCAGAGCTGGATGCAGTACTCCAGGTGGGGTCTCACCAGAGCAGAGTAGAGGGGGAGAATCACCTCCTTCGACCTGCTGCTAATGCAGCCCAGGACATGACTGGCTTTCTGGGCTGCAGGCGACATTGCTGGGTCATGTTCAACTTCTCATCAGCCAATACCCCCAAGTCTTTCTCCTCAGAGCTGCTCTCTATCCATTGTCCGCCCAGCCTGTATTTGTGCTTGGGATTGCCTCGACCCATGTGCAGGACTTTGCACTTGTCCTTGTTAAATTTAATGAAGTTTGCATTGGCCCACCTCTCAAGGCTGTCCAGGTCCCTCTGGATGGCATCCCTTCCCTCCAGCGTGTCCACCACACCACACAGCTTGGTGTCATCGGCAAACTTGCCGAGGGTGCACTCAATCCCACTGTCCGTGTCTCCAACAGAGAGTGTTAAACAACACCAGTCCCAATATTGACCCCTGAGGAGTGCCACTTGTCACCGGTATCAACTTGGACATCGAGCCATTGACTCTGTGTGTGCACACGTCCAGCCAGTTCCTCATCCACCAAATAGTCCTTCTGTCACATCCATGTCTGTCCATTTTAGAGGCAAGGATGTCATGTGGGACAGCGTCAAAAGCTTTGCACAGGTCCAGGTGGATGATGACGGTTGGTCTTCCCTTATTCCCCAGCGCTGTGGCCCCGTCGTAGAAGGCCACCAAATTTGTCAGGCACAATTTGGCCTTAGTGAAGCCATGTTGTTGTTCTTGGAACAAATCTTAAAACCAAGTGTTGAAATTAGGAATGTGTTATGCATGCTTTAAATCAAAATTGTATCCAAGCTGAAATACAGGCATTCTCCACAGATAGGAGGAAGATGATAGTATAGACACGGCAAACTAATTTATCTCTCTACTGTCATTACTTGGAGAATTTGTGAAAGCTTCTGTCTTCTGTGCATGGCTCCACTTTCAATTTTGAGCATAATGAAACTTTTATTCTCATGAGTTTTATAGCATACGAGTCGGTGGTTTTCCATATTCATAAATTTTAACAACTGATTTTAAGACTTTAACACTCACCAGAATTTCCTTACATTTTTAGCCAACTTTATAACATTACTGACGTTCTAAACCATATTAGAAGATCCTATGCGTATCACTTCTGTTCTAAAAGGATGTTAGGTAATTGTTTGTATTTTAGTATCAGTTAGTGAAATGCTACAGCTTTTTACATTTTGTTTCATCTTCAGTTGGTCACATCATTGCAGTAATAACTCAAAAGTTGCTAAGAGTCCCTAGTTTCTCTACTAGTTATTCCAACAAGCATTAGAAAATGAATTTAAAACTATTTCTGACATAGTTAGGCAGTACTGACCACAGTGTTCATATAAACTGGAACTTAAATTTTCTTCTCTTTACTGGAGTATTGTGCCAGCTGATAGTGCTTCTGAAATCGATTTCCAACTATACTTGGCAGATCAGCAATTGCATACTTTCTGTTCTTGTAAACAGAACAAAACCACTTCCAAATGCCTCCACCTCCACACTGGAATCTGTCCAATGTCCTTACGTTCAGAAATAGAGAATTATTGACACCATCTACCTGATTTTTAGCTTAAAGGATACACCAACATCTTTGAGTTTTATCATTTGTTAATAAAATTTTTACTGAATTTGGGAAGTTGCCTTCTGTCTGTATTCAAACAAAAAAAGCTGACATGAATGTTGAATATCAATACAATATTTTTTTTTAACAGACATCACAACCTTCAGCTGCTTCTCAGGAGTCTTGCAATGTATGGCATTTGAACTTAGAAGCTATTCCAGAGTGAGTGAAATGCATCATTGAAAAGGTAGGTCTTAGATTTCCCAACAAAATGGGAAATAAGTAACGGGAACATATTTCAAGAGCATGTTTCTGCCAACGTCCATATATATTATAGAGACCTTCTAACTGAGGGAATTTTACTCAGTAACATCTACCATTACCATTTACAGGGGCTTTTTTCCCCTCTTAAATGTTTTGGTTTGGTTTGGTTTTTTATGTATTCACAAAGCCTACAAGTGATAAATCCTGTTCCTGCCCATTTATACATTAATGTATTTATTTTTGTGCAAGTAACTGTCAGGGGCACCTCTATATATTTTGTCAATGCTTAAAATTATATTCTTATTATATTATATTTTCTAGGCTTTGGGTTTTGGTTTGTCCTGGTCATGTTTTGCAGTACTAATGTGTGTGTTGACAGGGATAGTAAGAAGCGTGTTTCTCCATAACACTGGACTGAGGGTTTGTTAAGAGATGAGTTGTTGGAATATGATGTGATGTCTTTTATATTTAATGTGCTATTATGTCATATGAAAAGAAAGTAGTTACCTTCCTCCAAATTCAAAGTCAGTGTCACTGCTTTTGAGTTTTAACTGCCCACGTGAAATTACAAACCATCCCACAACTTTCCTGTTGTACCGATTGCTTCAGTGGAGTGTTTTCTTTTAGTTTTTTTAGGTCTAGAAGTTAATGTTGTTGCATAGACACAATAAGCAGAAACAGTGTTTTTCTTCTGGCCTGCAGTTTTTCTCTGATGAGTCTTTGATTTTGAGAAGCAAATGGTATCTGCATTCCTTTCTGCTTAGACTTCGGTGTCTAAGTTTTACTATATTGCAATTAACTTCTGATCTAAGGAAATCCACCCTGAAAATTATACACAAAGAAAAAAATGTTACGACTGTAAAACTAAGCATTCAGAAAATAAGAAAAATTGTTTCAACTTCCTTCATCTTCCTCTATGTTTTATTTTGTTAAACATTCATTAAACTTGTTTTAAAATTAATGTTTTCTTATACTTCAATAGTACATGACAGAATAGTGTATGTGTTTCAGAAACATTAATCTTGGTGGGGGGGGTGTTGAAAATTAAGGGTGATGAGGTATTTCCCCACTTGACATAATTACCTAGTCTTGAATGCCTAATCATACAGACGCAGTTTTTTACAGTACTTTGCATGTTATTTTGTTTCAGTAAAATTGTTTTCAGTATTGATACTAATATTATTTTTCTCACTTTTAGCTGTAAATGGCCAGCCTTCTGCATTTGAAAGCCTAGAGTGTACAGGTTGAGACATGGGAAATAGAAAACCCATAGGCTGCTCAGAAAAGACTTAACATATTTGCTCAAGATTGCAGAGGAGCAATGTTCCTCTGGTGGCAGAGGCAGAGAATGCAATTCTCTATGAACATGTTCACTATCTTAGCGTTCATTTTGTCCTTTAATATCCTGGGAACTCTTATCTCATTCACTTCTGACTTCTCTGGAAAGATGCTGTGGGTTTATGGGTAAATGTGTGGTTTTCTTAAACAATTCTGACATCCCCAGATCCTCCTGGGCTCTGAATAATTTTGTGATCGTGTGTTATTTTCTCCTGTATGACTCCTGATTCAAGGGCTAAAATCATTTTACATAAGCACACAGTCTATTTGCAGACTGTAAAAACCCACTGCTTCCCAGCCAGTTCTTTTTTGCCATCTGTCCTTGTTCTTAACCAATCTCTTTGGGTTTCATGCACACATTAGTGTATAGATAATCTTCAGTGTTTATAAATGTCTAACTAGTGTTGCTAGTGACCTTTATTGACCTGCATTTTCTTTTCCCCATCTTTCATCACTTGTTTTAGTTTCTTTGGCTAACTCTTCCCAGTTTGTCCTCTTCGTGCAGTCCAGCATTAAATCTGTGTACCCTCAGCTCCTTTTCAGATCTTGGTGACTTTCCCTCTACCACCTCCTCCACTAGTAGGCTGTTACTTCTTTTACTGAGTCAGTGCTTCCACAGCCTGTTGCCAAATTCATGCTAAATCAGTCCCAGACTCCCTTGTGCTGCACCTCATCTCCCAGTCTCTGTGCACATAGGACGTAGACATGTCCTTTTTCTTCCATACTGTCTCTTGCATTCCCATTTTTGCCAGACTTCTAGCCTTCTTCCCTACCCTTCATGAATCACTCCTCCATTTGGAGATCCAGGTTACTATTCCATAGTGACTGAGTGCCAGAAAGACTCACTAAGGGCACTGGAAAGTGCTTTTCCCTGAGTTTTAATGCCTAATGGCATTAATGGGAAACGGACTGTGGGAGATTTACAGTAAATCTCTGAACCACCTTAATTCTTCTTTGAGAATGGCATGTGAACAAGTTGGTCAGCCTTATACACTGGGAAAGACTGTGCATGTTCAAGGAATTTTCAGGGATTTTAAAGCCTTTGGGCATATGTAAACTGAGATTTTTTTGAGCATATGTAAATGGGTTTTTTTCTTGAAGATAAAAACATTTCCAGATTTAAACAAATTCTTATAGGTGCAATGAAAGGCATGTCTTTGATACTTCATGAAATGTTGAGGTTTTAACCCACAAGGAAGGAGCAAGTTTCTCAAAGAAGTGTTTCCAGAACTGTTTCTAGCATTGCATGTGGAAAATAACCTTTTTTTCCTGCACAAGTTTTTTTTTTTTTTTTTCTGAAATTGCAATATTGGTTTTACTGAAACATTCTGAAGCTTTCAGTCAAACAAGCATCAGTCATGGAATTATCTTCCTAAACTACCTTGCAAAGACATTTGCAACTGAAAGCAATGCTTCAACTGGAAATGTGGGGCAGCTTCTGTATTCATGGTTTAACCCCACTCTAGGCACACTTGTGGGTAATGTGTGACTGGAGTTGCTAATGTTGTTTCTTGTCTGGGCTGTGATTTCACAAACAGCTAAGTAACTTTAATCCTCAGAAATGTTTCTCCTGACAGATGAATATATTTACTGAAAATACTAGTAGTTGTGCAAATATGTAGGAGTTTATAGATCTCCGATGTGTATTTTCTTTTGAAAAAGTGACTTTAGGATGGAAATGAAATTCATAGAATTGCAAATAATAACTGTCTCCTTATAGATAGAGTATTAAGGATTTGTCGTGGTATCCACACACAGATTATGTTGTAACGCTACATGCCCCAAAATACAAGTACCATTTCAAGTGTTCATGAGGTAAACAAAGTAAAAAGCTATATTCTCTTTGTAAGAAATCTCCTTCCCCTGCATTTAGTATGCAAGAAATGTATCAGCACTCAGAAGACTCAGCTGAGAAACTGCTTGCCAATTCCAGTTTAACATGGTAAATTGATTTCACTGCTTTAAAAGATCTAATGTTTTCATTAGTATTGCAGTGTTGTTCTATTTCTGGACAAATTATAAACATATTTCAAAACCCCTACATTTTGAAATGTGTGTTCTAGATTTCTTGGAATTAGTTATCACTGCAGCAAGCGGAGTTTTGACCAGAACATTATTTATGGTGGATTTCCTTTCTACTCGGAAGTCTCTTTTCTTGTCTTTGAAAAACAGCGAGTAAGCAGTTTTGTTAAAGGAGAGAAGTAACTCTGATAATGAGTTCTTAATGATTTATTTGCAATTAATGTGTTGGGTGGGTTTTTTCTTTTCTTGTCAATAGGCACAGTGGACAATTGGAAAATTGCACTGTCCATTCTGTGAGGCCTGCTTAGGGGGCTTTAACTTTGATTGCAACACAGAATGTTCCTGTGGACAGTTAGTAAATATACATTTCTGCAAAAGTCGGACTGACTATCAGCCAGCTTTCTCTGTTAAATTGGCAAAATCTTCATTACCTCTCCTCAAGATTCAGTCTGGTTTTGGCAAGGGTACCTGCCAGGAAGTGGTAACTGCAACTTTGGAAATCAAAAATCAACGGCATTCATACATGGCCAGAAATAATAATGGTACTGGAAGATTAACAGAAGCACTTTGTCTAGAAGTAAGAGCTCCCAGATGCGAGATGAAAAGTAAAAAACTTCCCATAAAGGCATTAAATCAAAAAAGAAATCTTTCTGCTTCCTATCATATGACTGATACATGCACTGTGAAACCTTTTCACAGAAGATCACATAGTTTGGATTTAAATATCAGAGAGAGACTTGTTTTGTCACCTGTGTTACATGAAACTTGCTGTATGGGAATGATTTACCATGGGCAAAATGAATACACAGGAAGTGGCTTGCAATTAGAGTCTGATAGGAAAGACAGTCCTGCTTTTCCAGACCAGTATAGTTCCAGTGCTGACGAACTACAAAAAAGGTTTCAAGTGGCTTCATTTACCACATTAGTACACAGAGAAACAGAAAGTGAATGTGATTTTGAAGCTACTGGACAATCTTCTGGGAATGCCATTGCTGATGGGTCACCTTGTGTGATGAACCCTTCTTTATCTACAAGTGCTGTGGAAGAGGGACACATCACACCTGTTGGTCTTGTGCAGTCTACGAGTATTTCCTTCAACCAAAAGCTGAATAAGAGAGAACGAAACAAGTTGAAAAACTTAAGGAGAAAACAAAGGCGGCGAGAACGGTGGCTACAGAAGCAAGTAGGTGTTTGTTTAAAATTAATTATGCTACTTTTTTTGTAAAGTTTGACTTGCTTTTATAAGTCATTCTGACTTTTTTTTTTTAATGCTGTCTGTTAATATTGGTTTAACATGGTACTGTCTGGAGTGAGGTACCCTGCAAACAAGGATTTATGACCTCTTCTTACATGTAGTTTTTCTAATTGAATCCAATCAGGTTTTTTTCTGTGTAAAATCAAACGCTAGTGTGGGTAGATATAACTAGTTTCTGTTGTCTTTCTTATTGTTTTGTGATGTAATAATAAATTTGAAGTGTGAAGAAATACAGTAACATTTAATCAGCGTGATTAAAGGAAAACTAAACATTCAGGTCTTCTAAATGAGAAACCCTAGCATTTCAGGATTTCCTAACTTTTAGGTAGTGGCATTTTTGGTTAACTGTACAGTTAAGAAAAAATTATGTTTTAAAAGGTATCTGCATTTATTATTTATTGTGACACAAATATATTTTCTTTGAGTAGAGAATTGGTTGCTGTTATTTAAAATATTAGTTGTGACTAGGTAAATACTTTGTCTACAAATCTAACAAAGATGTTACACATTTTTGTTTCATTTTATAACTTGACACATCACCAGTTCTTTTGTATCCTTTTTAAAACATTAACCTTTTGTCTTACAAAGGTAACTAGTGGTCAGTTTTCGTGAAGTGAGTTTGCTTTCATGCTCCCAGTGTTAATCTGAACGCAGAATAAACAGGTGGGTGCACTTCTCCGCACTGTCAGGTGCTGTCATCTTGCCTGCAGCCTTGAGTTTTCAAGTCCCTACTGGCGTTCTGTAGGAACTGACAGTCTTATAGTGAAGGCAATGGGCTTCAAAGGTTTAACTCATGACCTTAGTTCACTTAATCTATGATTGTCTCTTTCTCATGTGTAGATTGGTTTATAATTCTTTTTCTTGTACAGTCAAGTTTGTATTTAAACTGTAAATCCTTCAGGTGTCTCTTCATGTGTTTATGTACTTATATTTCAGTCAGTCTTTCTATGATGATACTCATAACAAGAATTATCCTCAGACTGCTTATGGATTCCTCAGCTGGCTGTTGGAGGGGTAAAAGTATTATTTAGTGTGGGTACAAAAATAAAGCAGGAAGAGAAGAAAGTGAAGTGAAATCACAGATGGAGGAGGCAGGCAGATCTCAATTGTGAGCTTTGTTGGGGAAACATGAGGCCCTGGAGAAGTTGCTTAAAGCAAGGAAAGAGGAAACATAGGGGAAAAGAGGCAGTCCTAATCCCATACCCTGAGATCTGTACCAAAAGATAGTGGATTTAATATGAAGTTAGTGTTATGTTGCAGTGACTGACTAGCTGTGAATTCCCAGAATTAAGATTGAGGGATGCAATAGGGGGAGAGCATTTTGACTCTGTGCAGCTTGTACTGTATCTGCACCAGCTTTCCATTCACTTCCTCGAGTGCCTGTAAGAGAAATGAAGAGCAACTAGTAACATAAACCTTTCCAACTTGGGTGGTGTGGTTTTGTGTGGTGGGTTTGTTTGGTATCACGGGAGGGGCTACAGTGATGTCTCCTGTAAGTAACAAAGAGTTCCACCCCGCCGCCCTCTCCCCCACACCTCCCTGGCTGCAGGGGAGGCGAGGGGAGTACTACTGAGATGGACCCTGTGAGAAACTGCTGGAAGTTGCCCCAGCTTCAGGCTGGATCCACCCCTGTCCACGGCTGAGCCAGTCAGTGCCTCTGCGAATAACATATGTAAGAGGGGGCACAGCGCAAGGAGGGGTGGTATGACCCCAGGCAGGGCCCAGCCACTCCATCCAGCTGCTTGCCCAGCCCCTTCTGCAACCCAACCCACTGCAGTGCAGGCCTTCTGTCGTGGTTTATAAAGCCACAAGGACAGTTTTTGCTAAACACCTGGTGGGCTGAGGCACGGACAGGGAGGGTTTCACTCACCACTTTGGGTCACGAGCAAGAAACTGACACGACTTGGGAAGAACAAGAAAAACAATTGAATTTATTAACTATTTACAACAAGAAGCAAGATACTGAGAGAGAGAAACCACGTCTTAAAAAGGCACTTCTCCCCCACCCCTCCCTTCTTCCCAAGGCCCAAAGGCTTTGTTCTGTACCTTCTCCTCCCGCTGGCGGCACAGGGGGGCAGGGAGTGGGGGTGCAGTCAGTCTGCCGCTCTTTCCTCCTCACAGTCTTTCCTGGCTGCCACGTGGAGTCCCTTTCTCACGTTGAGAGTCCTTCTCCAGAACTTCTCTGGAGTGAGTCCTTTTCCAAACGGGGCTACAGTCCCCTGACAACTGCCTGGCTCCCGCGTGGGGCTTTAGTCCAGCATGGGGTCCTCCACAGCTGCATGTTTCTTCACCATGTGGCAGGGGAAATGCGGAAAGCGTTCCATTTCATGATTCCAATTCAGTGTCTGCATGGCCGTCTCCCTCAGCATC